GCAACGTAAGTGTTAAATTTAGATGTTTACATTAATTTATATTTATAATTTTGCATTTAGTTATTATATATGTATACACATACTTACAGCTTCCACCGCTACTGCGGCATTACCTATTGCAGGAACAGACTCAAAAGCAACAAAACGTCCGCATGTAAGTATTCCTTTTTGTATCAATGCGCCAGTTATTGATTCTTCTCTGCAGTCAGACCTGGTGGCAGAGAGTAAAGAGAAAGAGTCGGACAAGAACATAGATGTTGTTAAAAAGGTACTGCTAAGTTCTATGCGGAAATACAAGCAAAGGGTTAAGCTCAGCGTCAACAATGGGTTTGAACGCGGTCTAACGCCAGAACGTGTTGTAATGTCATTAATGCAGGACAATGTGCGTATATTTGCTGTCCGATTCAAGCATCGAAGGCTGCCAGAGTATGTAACTGAGGAGGACGTAAGGAAGCATGCCCCATATCTACTTAATCATATGTAATCTATAATGAAAATCCTATGGTTATATTGTGAACATCTAACGGCCATGAAATTTTTATAAGATTTTTAAAAAAATCTACGTCAAAATAAAACACTAGAATAACATCTATAACTGCATTATATCTATATTTTTATTTTTTTTTCTCAACCTACAATTGGTTGCTATGTTGACATTAAACGCTATTCTGATATGCTTATCGCAGCTGTCAGATCTTTGGCCCGCATATCTCTCACGCGCTTCACATCGCGATAAGCGCCAACTCATTCTGGCCAATAATTTGCATTGCAAAATGGCTATTACACGGCTTATCTGTCTATATCGGTGCTGCAGCACAGTAGCTGGCCAGCTGTTAATAATTCGACTAAGCTCCATGCCATGCCACTCTCTTTGCCACAGGCAGAGTGCAACATTTGCTGAGCTTAAAGTGTTGCGAATTACATGCAAATTACTTAATAATAAATTCTGTTAATTGTTTTAAATGCCAAAGCTGCCGGACAAGAGATACAATCTCAGCTCGTGTTACACAACACTTGAAATCGATATGGCAAAAAAGTATTCGAGTAGGTACATTCGATATCGTGAAGTAGTATTTTTTGCCTTGCCAATATTAATATTAATATTAATATTAATATTAATATATTAAATGTGCTCATCTCTCATAAACTTTCAAGTGTATTCAACTAACTGCAATACCTTATCAAATATGAATCCCTTCACATATACGCTGGACATAATACCAAACTTCGCAACTCTTTAAAATGCTGCTTATAAAATTAGTATATCAATTTTTCACACAAAAAACCCCAGCAAAAATATAAAAGTTTAGCCCAGGCGAACAGAAACAAAAAAGTGGTTTAAAAAGTTGGTCGAGATAAAGAGGGAAACCCTCTGACAGGACGAAATTTCCACGACTTGCTTACAATATATATACACATACTCGCTTGTTATACCCTGTGCTTAAATGCAATGTATACGTGGGGTGTATTGACACGAAGTTTTTAAGATAATGGTATGTAGAATAATATAGGTGACATTTCTTTTTATATAAATTCAATAAAGTTTAATCTAGTTCATTCTATTTATAATCTCAGTATAGCAGTTTATGGAGCATCTCCCAGTCGAGCAAGCTCAACGGAAACCAAGGAAAACAAGGACTTGTTTTAATTTGTATTTACATGACACAGGAACACAAAATCGCTAAAGAGTTGAAAATTAAATAAAAGGGCGAAATGCAGTAAAATCTCGGTAAAGAAGAGGGTAAAAAAACAGGCGTGGCAGGAGAACGTTGAAAGGGTAATGGAAAGGAACAGGGAGAAGCGGGTCACATGCGGCATGTGTAAATATTTAGAGTTAATTAGTTCAAGTGACTGCAGGAGTGGAAAAGGACTCGAAATGTGCTTAAAAACGCGTAAAAAGTGCGAAGCTCATTTTGGTAAATAAACAAATTAATTTTATTAAACTTGCACGAGTTGAACGCGCAAAGAGAAGAGACACAAGGTAGGCTGGACTAATGAAATACCCTGCAAACTCAAATATAAAATCAGAAAAATGAAAAGAAAATGTTGTTATTAATGTTGAATAAAAAAACTATTTATAATGTACAAAAAATTTGCATAAACAAATTTTTTTTACAAATTTCATATATGTAAATTAATATTATAATAAGTTATTTATATATGTAAATATATATATATATTTTATTAATTTTTAAAATTCTTTATATTTAATTCAGTTTGAGGTAACATAAAAATTGTAAACTAAATTATTATAAAAATATAAATATTTATTTTCATAATTTGCAGCTCATTATGGGATAAAATTTCAAAATTCGTTGCTCTATCACAAACAACCTGATCCTTAGTTCTCAGTTATTCTCTGGTCCCTAGTAGTTTCTATTTCAAAAAGTTTTCCCAAGCTTTAGCAACAAGCTAAGACACACACACACATGCAGAGTCGAGTTTACACAGACACAATCACCCACATACCACACAAACCACAATTTAATTTGCATTTAACCAGCCATTTTTAACTGAGTAAAATCAATCGCAAATTGAATTTCATTCGGGTCGTTATCTTTAATTTTATTTGACTGATTATGCTTTTAACTGGAATCAATTTGCTTTGTCGTGAATGGCTGAAGGCAGAAGGCAGAAGTGGACTACACCCCGTTTAATGGGCAAATACACAAAAGCAAAAGCAAGAAATCAAAATAGAGAAATGCAATCATGTTGAAAATATTTGCATATGCCGCGCCGCGCCAGAGTGCCGCCCTCGAACCGGAAGCGGAAGTAAACAATGGACGGCAACAGCTCGACTCGCAGTCGGAGCTCTCGACAAAAGCCAAAAATTCGCATGAAAGGAATCCAGACTGAAAAGCGAAAAAAGCAAGGAAAGGCGGAAAACTCGATGATGCTGACGATGAAAAATCGAAAATAAATTTCATATAAAAAACTGCTTTAGTCTGCATTGTAGTCAAAGGCAAAGAGTTGCTCTATATAAAGGGCACAAATAATAATAAGAGAATACCGGTTAGCGGTTATTTTTTTATTATAAATTAATTTTATAATATGTTTTATATTACAATTTTTCAAATATCTTCAACTCTGTTCTATAGAAAGGTTTTAAAACATTAATATATTTTTAAAAATAAAATTGCAATATTTAAATTTCATAATTATTCTGTTGTACAGCAACGAAATGCATTAGAAAATCAATATACCTTTTAAAGACAATATTAGCGTTATGTAGAGGTATACAAAAATCTCAGCACGCTTACCTCATTTGTGTCTCTCTTATTATTTTCCGCTCACAACGCGCATTTGTTCGCCACTCTCCACCTCTCTCACTTTATGTGCATTCCTTCATTCGCGTCCTTACCACAAAAACTCCAGCTGACAAAAATTACGCAATACATATTTTGCACACCATGAAACTAACAAAATATATCACTAATCACTTAAAATGCTCCTGTATCACAAACAAATTTAATATAATAATCAATTGAAACACATTTTGATAGCTAAACTTAACTAATTACGAGTCATAACACCCGCGCACAGATCCCGACTGATCGAAAGAAGGAGCGCACGCAAACTAAAAATAACTCATTAAGTGCGCTCCTTCGCTAAGCCGGCATTCTCTCTAATACAACAACAACTAAGAGCAGCCGGCATTTATACTTATAAAGCAACAACAAAGGCACTCAACTAACAGCGCTTCTGCTCTTCATACACCATTCGCAATGCGCTAGCGCTCACACTACTCTCAATGGGACCATCAGTCGCTCTTAAGCTAACGGGATCAGCAGCATTTCAGCCAATGGCATGCGCGCCATGGACATATTCAATTACCCCTCCCGTTCAGCGCATCAGTGAAACCAAAATATGTAACGGCATTAAAAGCAACAGCAACAAATATTGTGCTCGCGTTTAGCAGAGACACAGATAAGGCAAAAAAATTCAGCAATTTGTGTGTTGTGACATCACAGTAGGGAGCTTATATGGGTGCGAGCGAAACGAAAGAACTTTCGCCACAATAAAAAGCTTTAGTGTAGCACAAAGGAGACTTTTAATCAATAATGACAGCTCACTTTACCCGCATAATTTGGAAATATCAAAAAAGTGAAAACAACCTTAACCCAACCAGTACCCACTGCAGTCAAAAGGCATCGCCAGACAAAGCGCTCAAAAGAAACGATACGAAACGAAACGAAAAGTTGAAAGCAAAACTGAACTGCAAGTGTGTAAATGGCAACTAGAGAACTAGAAAGTGTGAGAGAGACAGAGATGGGGAGAGGTCTTAAAGGAAAGTGTTGGAAGAGGCATAAGGGGAAGGGACTGCGGTTCTCATTGGCTGTTGGCATTGGCATATTGAGTGAAGTTTTCAAACGTCAAAGTCGATTGCAACCTGATTAATTAAGAGCGGTGAGGTTGACTGACTGCATATGCGTGTGAATGTGTGTGTGTGTGCGTTAGTTAATGGGAACTGCAAATGGGCATTCAGCTAGCAAAGCCCTAGTGTCCTTTAAGCCAAAGGCCATTTGTGAATGTGTGTGTGTGTGCCATATGTGTGTGTGCATGCACAGGTGATCCTGGTCGAAAAGGCAGCTCAGCCATGCCGCCGGCTTGCAGCAACGGCTCCTGTTTTGCCTGCAGGAAAAGTGAAATTCACATTGCTATGCCACCAAAGGACTTCGGTTCAAGGACTCGACAAAAGGACTACAGCCAAAAGGCAGCGTGCGCCATCTGCTCACCCCCCTCCCCCCAACGCCCACCTGCCCATCTGCTCGCTTGCCAATTACATTGTTTTGCACGCAGAAATCGCTGTGAAACTCATTCCGAGGCCAAAGCCCATTAAATGCCCAATTAAAATCCAAATGAGCCAGAGAATACAGCAAACAAACGCAAGAACAACTGTACGTAAAGCCCGAAATATATACCAGATGGTATTACGATGGATACGACAGCGAAAGCAAAACATGAATGGCGCTCGGAGTTGCTTATGAGAACCTATTTAAAAAAAAAGAAATGGAACCAATTCAGATGAATTGAGGTGAATATGAAATACTCTTGAAGAGGTGGAAACCAGGAAGCATAGTAAAATCTCAATATCTAGTCAAAAAGGCGAGTGCCCCTATTTACGTAATTCCGTAGAGGTTATTCAAATGTTTACTCCTAATTTTCAGTTCCCAAACTCTTACTCCTTAACTATGTACGTGATGGCACTTACACACTGCAGAGTTTTCTAATACTTCTACTAGCACTAGCTCGACTTAATTCTCATTACGAATAATTTTGCATAAATGAAAAATGTTTACAATGGGTGCTTGAGTTAACAGTCTGTCGGAGTTTGTTGACTCGGAACAGGTTCCACGGATGCTCAAAGGGGCGAGGAGCAGGGGGAGATGGTGCGCAGAGAGTGAACTACTTTTATCAGCTGTCGTCGAGTTGCTTGCCTGCCTGTCGTCTGCCTGCATGCCAGCCAGTCTGTCTGTCCATCCGTCCGCCCATCTGGCGGTTCGGCCTACAGGGCCTGGTAAATCAATGCAATTAGTGTCACATCCTCTGCATTTAATGTCTATGTTTCGTAATCGACTCTGGCGCCCATGCCAGGTTTAAAGCTCATTGAAACCAGTTGCTAACTATGACTTTGAGTCGTGTTAATAGAAGAAATGAGTGTTGAACTTGGACATATTAATTCCTTATATCTATCTAGTTAAAC